TTAGTAATTATTGCTGAGATAAATAAAAGAAGATATTTGCAAACAACACCTCCAATAAGGGGTTAATATCCAAAATATATAAGGAACTCATACAACTCAACAACAAAAAGACAAACAAGCCAATTAAAAAATGGGCAGAGGACATGAACAGAAACTTCTCCCAACAAGACATATGAGGACAAATGGCCAACAGATACATGAAAAAATGTTCAACTTCACTAGCTATTAGGCTAATGTAAATCAAAAGCACAATGAGATATCACCTCACACCTGTTAGAATGGCTATCATCAACAAGACAAATAATAAGTGTTGGAGAGGCTGCGGAGAAAAAGGAACGCTCATACACTGTTGGTGGGAATGTAAATTGGTACAGCCGCTATGAAAAACAGTATGGAGGTTCCTCAAAAAATTCAAAATAAAATTATCATATGACCCAGCAATCCCTCTCTTGGGTTTCTACCCAAACAATCTGAAAACATTTATCCATAAAGATATACATGCTCTGATGTTTACTGCAGCTTTATTTACATTGGCAAAGACATGGAAACAACCAAAGTGTCCTTTGATAGATGATTAGATGAAGAAGTTGTGGTATATATACACAATGGAATACTATTCTGCCATAAGAAAAGATGAAATACTGCCATTTGTGACAACATGGATGGGTCTTGAGATTATAATGCTAAGCAAAATAAGTCAGACAGAACAAGTTGAGAACCATGATTTCACTGATATGTGGTATATAAAATTGAAAACAACCAAGGGTTGTAGGGGGTGATATCTGAGGGTAAAAGGAATCAAATATATGGTAATGGAAGGTGAGCTGACTCTGAGTAGTGAACACACAATGTGATATATAGATAATGTATTACAGAATTGTACACCTGAAATCTATGTAACTTTATTAACAGTTGTCACCCCAATAAACTTTAATTAGAAAAAAAAACTGAAAGCAACAAAGAAACAAGACAAACAAATAAACAAAAAAAAACTCCTAGACACAGACAACAGTTTAGCAGTTACCAGAGGGTAAGGGGAGAGAGAGGATAATAGAAGAGGGTAAAGGGGGTCAAATATATGGATGGAAGGAGAACTGACTCTGGGTGGTGAACACATGATACAATATATAGATGATGTATTATAGAATTGTACACTTGAAACCCATGTAGTTTTGTTGACCATTGTCACTCCAATAAATTTTAAGAAAAAAAAAAAAAGAAGCACTAAATCAATGTGGAGATATTCTATGTTCATGGATTGGAAAACTCAATATTGAATTGACCTATAGCTTCAAAATTCTAGAGTATATACTTTAAAAACAGACAAGCATATTTTAAAATTTATATGAAAATAAAAAAATCTAGAATAGTCAAAATAATTTTTTAAAAGAACAAATTTTTTAAAAGAAGAACAAAATAAAACAATCTAGAATAGTCAAAATAATTTTTTAAAAGAAGAACAAAGTCGGAGGACTTACAGTACCTTACTTCAAGATATATTATAAACCACAATTATCAAGGTAGTTTGGTATTGGTATCAGTGGAACAGAATACAGAATACAGACATAGACCAACAAAAATATGATCAACTGATTTTTTGACAGTTTCCTAGACAATATAATGGACAAAGGATAATCTTTTCAACAGATGGTGCTGAACAATATGCAAAGAAAGAACTTCCCATACGCTTAGTTCCCATAATTTGCAAAAATTACTCAAAATGAATTAGAGACCTAAATGTAAGAGCTACAACTATAAACTATAAAATTACACACTATAAGGTTTCTAGAAGAAAATATAGAAGATAATCTTGGTGACTCTGGGTTACACAAAAAATTCTTAAATATGACACAGAAAAGCACAAGCTATATTGGAAAAAAAATGATAAGTTAGACTGTGTGGGAGGGAGGAATTACAAAAAAGCATGAGGAATGTTTGGGATGGTGGATATGTTTCCTATCTTGAAAGTTGTGATGGTTTACGGCGTTACACGTCAACTCACCACGTTTTACATTTTAAATATATGTGGTTTGTTGTACAACAATTAGACCCCAATAAAGCTGAAATAAATGATGCAGTTATTCGAAGCAAAAATAATAATACTACATAATGTGCGGTTATTATTCATGTAGATCTTCAAATACACACACACACACACGTGCACACACACACATGCACACACACGCGCACACACACACACACTCACACACATGCACACGCACACGCAAACACACACACACATATATATTTATATATATATATATATGACAACAAAGCATAAAGGACAAAGAAGAAGTATGGGTAACTATACTGTTCCAAGTTCCTACATTTTTAGTAAAATAGGACAATATTAACTTTAAGTAATATTTTGATAATTTAAGGACGCATTTTGTAATCATTAAGGTAACCTCAAAAATTACAAAGAGGTATAGGCAAATAGCCAATAAAAGTGGAATTTTAGCCAGTAATTAAAGTAGACTACTGAAAATATTTGATTAACCAAAATAAAGACAGGAAAAGGAAAATGAAGAACAAAAATCAGGCGAGACAAACTGAAAAAAAGAAAAAGAACAAGACAAAAATAAACCCAACCATATCAATAGTTATAGTGAATGTAAATGAAGTAAGCACTCCAATAAAAGGAAGAAACTGTCAGACTAAATAAAAAAACAAGACTCAACTATAGATTGTTTACAAGAAGTACACTTTAAACCTAAAAACACAAATAGATTGTAAGTAAAAAGACGGGAAAAGATACAACTCACCTTATAAACCACAAACAAAATAGAGAAACAAAACTCAAGAGAAAGAGAATTATCATAGATATGAAGGAACATTCCATAATGATTAAAGGGAAAGCATAATGTGCCCAATAACTTAAAAATACATAAAGCAAAAATCAACAGAACTAAAAGGAGAAATCATTCCACAACTATTGTTGGAAATTTTAACATCCCCTTTCAGTAATTAATAGAACAACTAAATCAAATATTAGTAAGGATACGGAATCAGAGTTACCAAAGTTTTTCTATTAAGGGTCAGGTAGTTGATATTTTAGGCTTTATGGGCCATATGTAATCTCTGTAGCATATTCTTTATTTTGTTTTGTTTTGTTTTTTTCTCAACCCTTAAAAATATAAAAATCATTCTTAGCTCAGAGGACACATAAAAGCTGGCTACAGGCCAGATTTGCTCCACAAGCTATAGTTTGCTAATTCTTGGTATTGAAGATCTGAATAAAGTTATCAAACACCTTGATCTAATTGAGGTTTATAAAACAACTGCAGAACGTACATTCTTATCAAGTGTACATGAAACGTTCACCAAGAGAGACCATGCATTGGACCATCAAGCAAATCTCAATACATTGCAAAAGATCGTATAGGGTATATTCTCAGACCACAATATTTTTAAATTAGAAATCAATAACTACAAGATATCTAAAAAAGTCCCAAATATTTGAAAATTAAACAGTACGTTTCTAAATAACCCATGGGTCAAAATAGAAATTATACTGAAAATTTGAAAATATTTTGAATTAAATGATAATGAAAATATAACACATCGAAAGTAGTGGAATGTAGCTAAAACAGTGCTTAATTTATAGCTTTAAATGCTTATATGAAAAAAGAAGAGAGAGAGAATGATAAAACAAATAGGGTAAAATTTAATCAGTTGGTGGATCAGGGATATATGGGAGTGCCTTATGCTATTCTTATCACTTTCTGTAAGTTAAAATTTTAACAAAATAAAGAGCTCCCGTAAACCTCTTAATTTTATGTTTAGCCAAGTTGTTATTCACATGTGAAAGTGGGAAATAAACACAGATATGCAAGACTGGGTCAGTATAGTAGGGTATCTTTCTTTTCTTTAAAAATAACAACTATGTATGAAGTTCTGGAAAACCCAGGGTAACAGAAAACAAGAAATGTCAGGTAGCTACTAAAAGATAGAAATCAGGTAGGATGATATCTATGGGAATAAGAGTGGGGAAAAGCACAATACAAATCCAAAAAGCAGTAATTAACTAATTAATAATTTTAGAATCAGAAATTAATTGAAGAATAGTTTTCAGAAGTGTAGGTTGAATAGGATAGTCACTCTTTCCCCTGGCCTATATCAAAGAAAAGTTTGAAAGGTATTTCTCTCTACACTAATGGTTCTTAACTATGCCTGAACATTGAAATCACCTGGGTAGCTTTCAAAACTACCGAGCCTGAGATTCTGATTTAATGGATCAGAAATGAGGACTGAGCACCAGAACTACATTTTGTATTGAAAATATGGTATAAACAAGAGAAAGATAAACTTGCCTTATAGTGCTTATTAATGTAGAGTAACTGAGAAGTTTAATCCTGGTGCAGGAATTTGGCATGTAGCTCAAGGAACACAAGAGAATACAAAAATACATCCAAGTGAATTGATATTTCAAGTAGCCTGCAAGTGTACTATTTAATAAATGAGCAATTGGAAAAAACCAAAACACTGAAATACAACTAACTTTCTCATAACAAAATAAAGTCCAAATGGATTAAAATGTTAAATAAAACATGGGAATAGAGAAAGTACTAGAAAAAAACAAGTAGTCTCATAATATTAGGTAAGTCAGTCTTGACAAACATGGCACAAAACTGAAACTCTAAAGAAAGTGTTATTTAAACTTAAAGAAAAAATATTTTTTAACACCTATTGGCAAAACACATTATTAATCAGTGAGCAATTTAGCTAAAAAGTAAGAATATTTGCAGTATATGTGAAAAGTTCCTAAAAATCATTATAACAATATAATAATAGAAAAATCAGAAAAGGACTTACGCACATATTTTTATAATGAAAAACAAAAATGTAAAGCAATATTCAAACTACTGTAACACCAATCTAAATCAAATGTTTTAAGACTCTCACCAAAGAATAAATCATTAGAAAATTCTGACAAATAACTTAGCACTCTTGATTTTGGCTATCTATTTCATTCTTCAGTTTATAATAAATTTACTTACAATTTGCTATGCGTTCTTGACTGATTGCAATCCTCTCCTGTAGAGATTTTAAGGGTGTTTTCTTGATACCATGTATAGTTGTTGTGGAGAGTTCTTTCAGTTTCCAGTGGGTCCAAAAACCTCTTTGAGGTTTTAAACCTGTTAATAGAAAATTTATGTTTAACCAAAGAAATTAGGATTTTGAAAATATCTTTTTAATTTGTCAAATAATTTTTACCAGTATTATACATTTCATTCTCACAGCAGTCCTGTGAGGATTGTCAGTCTCAAGTTTCAAATGTGTGAACTTCTACATAGAAATGTTAATGTCTTAATATATAAAACAGTGAATTAGAAAATAGCCAAAACTTGGTGCGGGGTTGCTTCCAGTCAAGATGCCAAAGTATGTAAAAGGCTGTGCTAGCCTCCACCCATGATCACATCCAAATTACAAGTAAACTACAGAACTAACATCATGGAGAACTGCTGGAAGTCTAGCTGAACAGAAGTACTATTACTAAGGATATACAGAAGAAGCCACCTCAAGACTAGTAGGAGGGGCAGAGATGCAGAGTGGGGTGGATCCCACACCTATATGTGGTGGTTAAAAATTGAGAGGAATATCTCAGGGGAAAGGTCCCCCTGAGGAGCAAGGGGTCCCAGCCCCACACCAGGCTCCGCAGCCCAGGATTACAGTACCAGGAAGAGAAGTCCTCACAACTTCTGTTTCTGAAAACCAGTGGGAATTATGGTTGAGAGAGACAGAGGGCTGCTTGAGTCCAGAGAGCTCCCTTTAAAGGACCTGCACATGGACTTACACCCTGACAAACTCACTCACTTCAGTGATGGGGCAGTAGCTCAAAATGTGCCAGAAACATAAAGCGGGGAAATTAATTGTCTGGCTTCAAGGTGAGAACAGGATGGGCAGCTTTCTCCCAGACGGAAGTGCTGGCAGAAGCCAATGTTTCTATTTTGAGCCCTCCCCAACCCAGACTGAGTCTTCATTAACCTAGCTGACACTTTCCCTGCTCTGGTGATTCCCTGAGTTCCTGCCCCACCCAACTTATAGTCCCACCCAAACCTCTTCCAGTGGCTGTTCCATAAAAACAGTCTGTAGTGGCTCATGCTACAGACTTTCCTAAAATCATTCAATGGTTCACAAACGCCACACAAGCAGCATCTAGCCTCGGTGTGCCCCATACCTCTTACTCAGTAGCCCCTAGCCCACCACGAGCAGCAGCTGGCCTCAGTTTGCAGCTTTACCTCTCCCAGGCACCTCCAAGCCTAGCACCTGAGGCAATTATCTGCAGATCACTTTATAGCTCATGCCAAGAGGGTGCAGTCAGGGAATTGGCAGCAGCTGAACTTGGCCTGCAACAGAGCCCCTCCCAAGAGACCCCAGAACCAACACATCTGGTGCCCAGCCTCAGACCACACCACAGCACCACCCCCATAAAAGACATAACCAAACAGAAGGCAGGGCAGGCACTAAAGCCCTACTAATGCAAATCCTACTCCATAGGGTCAGCCCCTGAACAACAGCTCCTCCACTGTAGTCATGGCCAGTCCTCACAATCAATCAGCCTAAGGGTCAATCAGTCCCACTGATATGCAAACAGCAACAGAGCTGCAACTATAATAGGAGGGCACACACAACCCATACATGAGACACACCTGGAGTACCCAGCTCAGGTGACCACTGAGATTGTGCCGCTGAGCACCACAGAGGAGCTACTACACAAGGCCACTCTACTAAGCACAGGACAAGAGCAGTTTTACCTAGTACATGAAAACAAAAACAGGGAAGCAGCAGAATGAAGAGACAAAGAAACATGTCCCAAATGAAAGAACAGAACAAAACTCCACAAAAAGAATGAAACAAAATGGAGACAAGCAATCCACCAGGTGCAGAGTTCAAAACACTGGTTTTAAGGATGCTCAATGATCTCAGTGAGAACTTCAACAAAGAGACAGAAAACAAAAAAAAGAACCAGTCAGAAATACAAATATAATAACTGAAATGAAGAACACACTAGAGGGAATCAACAGTAGGTTAGATTAAGCAGAGGATCGAGTCAGTGATTTAGAAGATAATGTGGCAGAAAACACCCAATCAGAAGAGCAAAAAGAAAGAGAATCCGACTATAAGGAGAGTTTAAGAGACCTCTGGGATAACATAAAATGTAGCAACATTTACATCATAGAGGTATCAGAAGGAAAAAAGGGAGAGCAAGGAATTGACAAACTATTCGAAGAAATAATGATGAAAAACTCCCCTAACCTGGTAAAGGACATGGACATACAAGTCCAGGAAGCACAGAAAGTCCAAACAAGATGAACCCCAAAAGGCCCACACTAAGACACATCATAATTCAAATGCCAAAGGTTAAAGACAAAGAGAGAATCTTAAAAGCAGTAAGAGAAAAGCAGTGTTACCTACGAGGGATCTCCCATAAGACTGTCAGCTGATTTCTCAACAGAAACATTACAGGCCAGAAGGGAGTGGCAGGAAATATTCAAAGGGATAAAAAGCAAGGGCCTACTACCAAGACTATTCTACCCAGCAAAGCTATCATTTAAAATTGAAAGAAATAAAGAGTTTCTCAGACAAGAAAAAGCTCAAGAAATTCATTACCACCAAGACAGTATTATAAGAAATGTTAAAGAGACTTCTTTAAGAAGAAGAAGGGGAAAACAAAAAAAAGATCAAATATATGAATAATAAAATGGCAATAACTACGTACCTATCAACAATTACTTTAAACATAAATCAATTAAATGCTCCAATCAAAAGATATAGGGTAGCTGAATGGAAAAGAAAATAAGACCCATATATACCCATATGCTGTCTACAAAAGACCTGCTTCAGATAAAAAGACACACATAGACTAAAAGTAAAAGGATGGATAAAAGATATTTCATGCAAATGGGACAGCAACAGCAAAAAAAGCTCGGGTAGCAATACATATATCAGAAAAAAATAGACTTTAAAACAAAAGCTATAATTAGAGACAAAGAAGGATATTTCATAATGATAAAGGGATCAATCTAATAAGAATTACATCCTTTGTAAACATTTATGCACCCAACATAGAAGCGCCTAAATATATAAAGCAAATATTAACCAACATAAAAGAAGAAACTGACAGTAACACAGTCATTGACATCAAGGGATACATTTTCCAGACAGAAAATCAACAAGGAAACAGTGGTCTTAAATGACACATTAGACCAGGTAGATTTCATTAATATTTTTAGAGCTTTTCACCCCAAAGCAGCAGAATATACATTCTTTTCAAGTTCACACGAAACATTTTTCAAGATAGATCACATGTTAGGCCACAAAACAAACCTTAATAAATTTAAGAAGATTGAAATCATATCAAGCATCTTTTCCAGCCACAATGATATGAAAATAGAAATCAATTAGAAGAAACTGAAAAACACACAAACACATGACGGTTAAATAACCTGCTACTGAACAATGAATGGGTTAGCAATGAGATCAAGGAAGAATTCAAAAGATACCTTGAGACAATGAAAATGAAAACACAACACCCCAAAATCTATGGGATACAGAGAAAGCAGTCCTAAGATGGAAATTCATAGCAATGCAGGCCTACCTAAAGAAACTAGAAAAATTTCAAATAAACAATCTAAGTTCATACCTAAAGGAACTAGAAAAGAACAGCAAACAAAGCCCAAAGTGACCAGAAGGAAAGAAATAATAAAGAGCAGAGTGGATGGGCCGGCTGAGTGGCGCGTTGGTTAAGAGCTGGCTTGGGACACCAGAGGGCCCCGGTTCAGATCCCACATATGAGGGCCAGTGACACTGCCCTCTACAGCTAAGATGCTGAACAACAGCTCAACCTGGAGCTGGGCTGCCGTGAGTCGCCGGCAATGGCGTAGGCCGCAGCCCCTGCTGCAGTGGGTTGCCATGGGCTACCGTGTGTGGCCAGCAGCCAGCGTGAGCGGCCAGCAGCCGCAGTGAGTGGCCATCCAGAAGCTGGCGACTGATCTGCCTCACCCGGGAAGAGCGCAATGATGGCGCCAACTTGGGCCAGTGAAGCAACGTCCTCCACAACTAGACTGAAGAACAAAACGACAGCAACTTGTCTGTTCCCCTTCCCCCAATTCCCCAGCACTGTTCCCATCCCCAATTCCCCAATAAAAATATTAAAAAAAAATCAGAGTGGAAACAAATGAAACAGAGTTTAAAAAGCAATACAAAACCAAGGGCTGGTGCTTTGAAAAGACAAACAAAATTGACAAACCATTACCCAGACTTATCAAGAACAAAAGAGAGGACCCAAATAAATAAAATCAGAAATGAAAAAGGAGAAGTGACAACCAACACCACAGAAATATTAAAAAAAAACAAACATAAGAAAATACTATAAGCAATTATATACCAACAAACTGGACAATGTGGAAGAAATGGATAAATTTCTAGAAGCATACAATCTTTCAACACTAAATCAAGAAGAAACAGATAATCTGAACAGACCAATTACTACTAATAAAATCGAATCAGTAATCAAAAAACTCCCAACAAACAGAAGTCCTGGACCAGATGGCTTGACAGGTGAATTTTATCAAGCATTCAAAGAGAATTAACACCTATCCTTTTCAAGTTATTTCAAAAAATTCAAGAAGATGTAAGGCTCCCAAACTCATTTTACGAGGCCACCGGTACCCTGCTTTCTAAGCCAGACAAAGACTTTACAAAAACAGAAAATTATATGCCAATATCCTTGATGAACACAGATGCAAAAATTCTCAACAAACTGTTAGCAAACTGAGTCCAGCATAAATTTAAAAGATCATACACCATGATCAATTTGGATTTATTCCTGGGATGGAAGGTTGGTTCAAAATCTGAAAATCAATTAACATGATATACCACATAAACAAAATGATGAAAATCATATGATCATATCAATAGATGCAGAAGAAGAGTTTGACAAAATCTAGCATCCATTTATGATAAAAAGTTTCAGCAAAGTGGGAACAGAGGGAACATACCTCAACATAATAAAGGCCATGTATGACAAACCCACAGCCTACATCATATTCAGTGGGAAAAGCTAAAAGCATTTTCCTTAAGATCAGGAGCAAAACAAGGATGTTCACTTCTGCTACTTTTATTCAACGTAGTATTGGAAGTTCTAGCCACAGCAATTAGACAAGAAATGAAAGACATTCAAATTGGAAAGGAAGAAGTAAAACTGTCATTATTTGCATATGACTTGATACTATATATAGAGAGACCTAAAGATTTCACCAAAAAGCTATTAGAATTGATAAATTTAGGTAAGTAGCAGAATATAAAATTAATATTCAGAAATTGACTGTATTATTATATACCAATAACAAATTATCAGAAAGAGAAATTAAGAAAACAATCTCATTTACAATTGCATCAAAAAATGCCTAGAAATAAATTTATCCAAAGAGGTAAAAGGCTTGTACTCAGAAAATTATATGGCTTTGAAGAAAGAAATTGAAGAAGTTACAAATAAATGGAAGCATATACCATGTTCATGGATTGAAAGATTAATGTCATTAAAATGCCCATACTACCCAAAGCAATCTATAGATTCAATGCAATCTCTATCAAAGTGCCAATGATATTTTTCACAGAGCTAGAACAAATAATCCTAAAATTTATATGGAACCACAAAAGACACTGACTAGCCACAGCAATTTTGACAAAGAACAAAATTGGAGGTATCACAATACCTGGTATCAAACTATACTACAAGGCTATAGTAATCAAAACAGTATGGTAGAGGCATAAAAACAGACACATAGATCAATGGAAAACAATAGATAGCCTAGAAATAAACCCATACCTATATGGTTACTTAATCTATGACAAAGGAGGTAAGACTATACAATAGGGTAAAGGCAGTCTATTCAATAGATGTGTTGGAAAAATTGTACAGACACATACAAAAAAAATGAATCTAGATCACCTTCTTACACCCTATATCAGAATAAACTCAAATAGGAATAAAGACATAAATGTAAGATCCAAAACCATAAAACTCCTAGAAGAAAACATAGGTAGTAAAATCTCTGACATTGCTCTTAGTAATATTTTTTTTCAGCTATATCTCCTCAGGCAAGGCAAATAAAAGAAAAAAATAAATGGGACTACATCAAACTAACAAGTTTTTACACAGCAAAAGGAAACCATTAAACAAAACAAAACAAAACAAAAGACAACCTACTGAATCAGAGAATTCACCAATGATGCATCCAATAAGGGGTTAATACCCAAACTTTATTAAAAAACTCACCCAACTCAACATACGCACACACAAAAAAAATGAATTAAAAATCCAAGTAAATAATCAGAGGACCTGAACAGACATTTCTCCAAAGAGGGCATACACATGGTCAGTAGACATATGAAAAGATGCTCAACATCACTAATTATTAGAGAAATGCAAATTAAAACCACAAAGAGATATCACCTTACACCTGTCAGAATGTCCATCATCAATAAATCAACAAACAACATGTGTTGGCAAGAATGTGAAGAAAAGGAAACCCTTGTGCACTGTTGGTGGATTGCAAATTGGTGCAGCCACTATGGTAGTATAGAAGGTCATCAAGAAATTAAAACTAGAACTACCTTATGACTCTGGCATTCCACTTCTGGGTACTGATCCAAAGAAACCCAAAAGACTAACTAAAAAAGACATATGCACCCCTATGTTCACCACAGCACTATTTACAATAGCCAAGTAATGGAAGCAACCTATGTGCCCATCAATAGATGACTGGATAAAGAAGATATGGTACATACATACAATGGAATATTACACAGCCCTAAAAAAGCAATGAAATCTTACCATTTGCAACAACATAAATGGAACTGGAAGTTATTATGCTGAGTGAATAAGTACAATAGAGAAAGACAAATATCATATGATCTCACTTCTATGTGGGATCTAAAGAACAAACTAAACAAATAAACAAAACAGAAATAGACTCATAGATGCAGAGAACAAACTGATGGGTGCCAGATGGGAGCAGGGTTGGGGGAATAGGTGAAAAAGGTGAAGGGATTAAGAAATACAAATTGGTACATATGAAATAGTCAAGGGGATGTAAAGTACAGCATAGGGAATATAGAATAATATTGTAATAACTATGTATATTGCCAGATGTGTACTAGACTAATAAGGGTTAGGCATTTTATAAATGCTATACACCTGTAAGTAATATAATATAATATAATATAATATAATATAATATAATATAATATAATATAATAAATTTTGAAGGTCAACTGTAATTGAAAATAAAACAAAAATCACAGAAAAAAAATAATTTAAATATAAAATAAAATAAAGCATAGGCAGTAATATGACATATTTTGAAAGGCAAAAAAATACCAATTTTTTGACTGGATCAGACATAATCCAAAGTAATGATCAATATTTAAATGACATAGTCTTACCTGACAACCAAAGACAAATATTATTCCCTAGATCTTCTTTAAATTCATCATTAAAGAGATGACTGGATTCTGGAAATGCTTCCTGGAATGTTGCATAGATAGCTTGTGCCAAACAATCAGGATACACCTACCAATAATAGTCATAGTAGATTAATTTCATACTTCATATAACATACCTCAACTGTCAAAGAAATTATTATTAAGTTTGTGAAATATATTATACATGTCCCTTTTTTTTTTGTTTTAGCTTGCTTTGGGCATTATCTTTTTATACCTCTAGCTGAGGAACACAAACAAAGAAGAGTTGAAAATAAAGTTAGTCAATTTTGCTATTTGTTAGCATTTTGGGAAAAAAATTTAATTTGGATAAAGGGTGAAGCTAATAATTAAGATAAGGTTTGATGATCTATTTATTTCACTTGACCTTACTATGGTTATCCTCTTTTATAAAGTGACATATACAGGTTATTATAATAAAAAGTATATATAAATATAATTTACATATAACATTCTGTAATTTTAATGTGTACAATGAGATGATTTGATAGTTCTATATTGCAATATGGTTACCACTATAGACTTAGCTAACACCTCTAGCTTGTCACATAATTTTTTTTTGTGGTGAGAATAAAAAGCATATTTTTAAATAATTGATATATTGTAATCACTATTGTATTATTTGCATATTAAAACTATGATCAGATATCAAAAAATATATAGTTCTACCAGTATTCTATTGGTAAAATTCTTAAACTACTAAGTTCCTTTCAAGGAATGACTAAACATAGAAAGATACCATATTTTTATATTAAAAATTAAAAATATTTATTTACTATTCTGGTACTCTGCATTCAGATAAGTATTTATAATCACACATTTAGACCTTAGTAATGTAAAATTTTAGAATCAGAGAGCCCTTTAAAAGTCACTGTCCTAATTCCTGGAACCTGTAAATGTTCATTTGCACAGCAAAAGGGCTTTGCAGAGATCATTAAATTAAGGATCTTGAGATGGGGAGATTACCTTGGACTATCCAGTGGGCCTTAAATGTAATCACAAGCGTCCTTATAAGAGGGGGGTTGAGGGAAATTTTATTATAGAAGAGAAGGCAATGTGACGGCAGAAGCAGACACGGGAGTGATGTGATCAAAAGCCAGGGAATGCTGGCGGCCACCAGAAGCTGGATAAAGCAAGGAATGGATTCTCCCCAGGGTCCTCTTAAAGAAACTAGCTTTGTTGATACCTTGATTTTAGCCTTGTAAGACTCATTGTGGACTTCAGGCCTATCTAAATGTAAAACAATTAGTTGCTGTTGTTTTAAGACATTTGGTTTATGGTAATGTGCTACAGCAGCAGCAGGAAACTAATGTAGTCACCTAATCCAGTAGTGCTCAGCTTTGCTGGTACTTGATGGCACTCTTTGAAGAACTCTGCGATTTTCTGTTTTGCAGGGAGGAGAGGGAGTATATTTTAATATATTGATATATTTAATTTTATTGAATGGGCCATGAATATTTTACTACCAGAAACAATCACATATTTTATTTGTGGTACACAAAATCACACTAATGATTAAAATTAAAATGTTGAACAAGGTGAATAAGGGGAACTTCTAAAAGTTTGTTGTGACTACCTCACCTTCAGGAGATTATGGGAAAAAGATATCACGTATCAAAGTGTGTTGGATAATTTTCTGAATGAATATCGTTGTACAATATTGGAAGAGAGGGAAGTAAAAACCATACTAAATATTTTTACATGCAGTTAATTTGTACTGAATAGTGGGATCTGAAGATAATTTTTTGATTCTTAAATATTAATAAATTTATCTTCCATAGCTAAGATAAATCAGATGAGCAAATAGTAACAAAACCCCCACTTATTTGAAAGAATTAAAAATAATGGAAATGGGTCAACGAGAGATGAGGCTCCACTCACACTTAAATAGCTCTGGAGGGGATAGACCAGTTGGGGGTTGGCCTGGTTCTCAAGCAGAAACAGGGAGAAGGAGCATTAAAAGAAGACTGAACACAGGTCAAGGGGTCAAATCACTAAGGTAAACATCTTATTTGTTCTCTAATGAAGCTTTGAATCTTGATTAAACAACTTCCAATTTCTTCTTGAAAATAGAGACCCAAAAAAATCATGATTTTTCTCAAATCAAGTCATGATTTGAAAAAGGTTATAAATACAATATCTATCAAAAGGCATATCCATCCCAGGGGAAAACATATGGACCATAAATGTAGGACTAGAAACTGGAGAATGGGGGACATGCAACTGTGCCTTCCTTTTTTTTCCACTCTTAGCCTTGAGAGCCCTGTATTAAAGCATGCTTGATTCCCTCAAACCATGTAGGCAGGCTAGACAATGACTAGGTGAAAGATTATAGGTAGGAGAAACAAGCGTTTTGTCATCTCTGCACAATGTAATTACCAAAATTCCTAAACATTAACTTTCTTCCACAAATAAGAAAAACATTCAATATGAGCAGAGAAAATTCTAGTCCAGGGGTCGGCCACTTTTAAGATGGAAGAGCTGCCAGGGTTCAGCAAACTGCAGCTTGCGAGCCACATGTGGCTCTTTGGGTACATACATGTGGCTCTGAAGTAAAATTGAAAATGAAAATAAAACTATCATAGTTTCATTTATAAAATTTTAAAAAATATTATTCATATAATGGTGATTATGTAAAAATATATTTATGGCTCTCGAATCGTTTTTAAATTATTGTGAGGGACATGATTGGCTCTTCCAGGGGTCGGCAAACTTTTGAGACGGAACGAACCCAAAGAGCCGCATGTGGCTCGCGAGCCGCAGTTTGCTGACCCCTGTTCTAGTCTATCTTTGAGAACAACATTGTTCTCTACAAAACAACAATTTATGAATCATGGATCTGATCAACCTCTTTATCTGACAGACAACCAGCTGTGGAACTGAGGGGCTGAATGTCTTGACAAGATCCCCCAGGTAATTAGTAGCAGATTCTGGATACAAAGCCAAGTCTCATCCCCGAGTCTACCACTGACTTCCTTCTACGACATGATATGTATATGTTTGTGAGTAAGATAGGTCAAGATTGAACATAAGTATTTGGCAAATTAGGTTTATGTTTTCATTGTGAAGGACATTGAGCTATTTTTATTTTAGGTTTGTTATACCCATGAAAACATTTACTGACTCCAAAATACTTATGTATTTCAGATTTACAGATGTCAACATAATGAAGTATTTGAATGTGGCTTCTGCTTTGAAATGTTAGATGTTTAAATTTAAAAATATCCAGTGAAATTCCTACAATCTTCACTTCACATTATTTAAGAACATAAATTATGTTAATCAACCCTATTCATTAGTTAATATAACAACAGAAAAGTAAAACAAACATTTGATTCATAAATTTGTCCACTGTTCTTTACTGTAACAGGTGCTTCATCCTCAGGCATAACATAAACTTTTCAAGTCCTCTTAGGTCAAAGGATACATTTTAATGTAAAAGAAAATGGATAATTTTGTAGATAAATAAATACATAAAACAAGAATATACATAGAATGAGCCAATAGTTTTCAAATTATTAATATGCAAACAGAATACCTACAGCACACTAAGGAGATTCTGTAAGACTTTTAGTCAAGGAAATACAATATTCTGGAGTAGAGGGGAATATAACTTCTAAATTATCATTAATTTCAGGAAATTTTGCTTTCAAAGTATCAAAATATGCTCTCATATGTTTTTAAATAACTATTTTTTTTAATTTCACCAGATCTCAATATAATTAGCATGACGAGTTAATTTCTATGTTTACCTGAAAGAATGCATCTTTTCGACTTAGAGGTATGCTCATGAAAAGTGTCACATAACTTTCTGAAATTCTGTCAAACAAGGAATCTTGATTTTCTTTGTCAGGCTTAAAAAATAAAACATGTATGAAATGAATATCATTAATATTATAATTTAAAATTGGAATTTGTTTGCATAATGTCAGTAATTTGATCTATTCTTAAAGGGCAGATCAGTTGCTATAGTGGAATGAGCATGGGTTTTGGCATCATGCAAACCTGAATTTAAATGCTGGCTGTGTTATTACATTAGCTGTGTTACCATGGGCTAGCTAATTAAGTCCTAGTTTCTTCATCTGCCAAATGTCAATAATATATACATATCTTAAAGTAGTATCTTAACATTAAATAAGGACAAGGATCTTGTCTAACTGTATTATTGCAAGCCATGAGCACAGTGCCTGGCACATAGAAAACACAAAAATGTTTGATAAATTAATGATGGTTCTTGCATAATAGTGGGCATGCAGAAGGCAATCAATGACTTAGTTACCTTCTATTGTTCTATATCCACTCTAATTCTTTAATTATCAGTAACTCAGTATGAAAGTAAAGCAATTACTGGAATGAAACAGCCATGGACAAAACTAGTAAAATTGTGACATGATAGCTGTACTAAAAACAAAGCATGTTGCAAGAAGGAAGAAATCTACAGATAATGTCAATATTATAGTAAAGACCTAATGTAGCATCTTGAATTCTTGCTTTATTATGCAATGAAGATATGAATTAGAGTCAAAATCCATGAATGAAGCAAAAAAGATGAAATAAAGAGCTTAATTTCATTTATGATGTCAGTTGTAGAAGCACACTGGCATTAACACATTTTTGGTAGTAAACACCAAAAATTATCAAATTTAGTAGTAGTCTTCTATGAAATTAGCAAGCCAAATGAGCTGGGATTTATAAATGCATAGGATCTTAGACCTAAAATGGAAGTTAGATGTCACCTACATTAAGTCCCTGTATTTTCGTGATTGCACTAGTACGCAGAAAGATTAAGAGAATCATGTAAGTTTATACAGTTAAGTAACTGAGAGCCAGACTAGAATCTAGTTCTCCTCACTCCCAATACAGCTCTCATGCTTTTGTATTTATGGAAGGAGATAACAGCAAAAATAATGATTATGTTACTAGTTAGCAATTCTTGATCACTTATGTAACAGGAAGTGGGTCTAAGATACAGGGTTGTGTGAGAATTAAATGAGACTTTTTACTATATAACTTACTAGTCACAAAAGTTAACATGTTTCAATAACACAATCTACATTTAACAGGTATGAAGACAAGAAATTTACCCAAACAGAAAGTTCCAGGATATGTCTTGGAGTAATGCAATTCAACCTAGAGTTCACACCATATATACCTCCACAGGAGACAGAGTAGCAAAATGGTATGGTCATTTTTGTAAATGTTTTGGTATGCTTGAAAAGAAATGTATCCTGCAGCTGTTGAGTATTCAGGTAATATCCATTAGATCACTTATTTAACATATGTTAAATCATACTTTGTTCCAGGAATAAATGACACTAATCAGAGAGTATAATCTTTATAATATACTGCTGCATTTAGTTTTAATAGTTATTTTGTTGAGGATTTTTGCATCAGTATTCATTAAAGGGAATATTGGTTTGTAGATTTTTTTGTTTCTTGTAGTTCTTTTGCTTTGATATCAGGGAAATGCTGGCCTCATAGTTTGAGTTAGGAAGTGTTCCCTCCTCTTCAATTTTTTCGAAGACTTTGAGAAGAACATTGTGTTCTATCTAAATAATAATAATAATAGATGTATCCACTGAACACTTATTGTCTATAGATATTGTATACCTAAACTGTATACCTAGCTCCATGTAAATCAACTTTACATATTCTCACTTAACACCTTCAATAAATATATAAAGTAGGTAATTTTTTAAATTTTATGAATGACTTAGAGAGATAAATAACTATTAAAGGTCATATAATTTACTAAATGGATAAACCTTTTGTTTTTGCCTTTAAGAATGTTTATTTTCACTTTCAGCCATTACCTTTTTTAAAAAATTTTAATAAATTATTAAATTTATTGGGATGACATTGGTTAGTAAAATTATATAGTGTTCAAGTGTACATTTCTATAATACATCATCTGTATATCACACTGTGGTTTCACCACCAGAGTCAGTTCCCTTCTATCACCATATAGGTACTTGATCCCCTTCTCCCTCTTCTACCACCCCTTCCCCCCCTTACCCTCCGGTAACCACTAAACTGTTGTCTGTAACTATGAGTTTTTATTTGTTTGTCCTGTTGGTTTGTTGCTTTCAGTTTTATATCCCACATATGAGTTAAATCATACAGTTCTCGACTTGTTTTGTCTGACTTATTTCACTTAGCATAATAATCTCAAGATTCATCCATGTTGTTGCAAATGGCAGTATTTCATTGTTTCTTTTGGCAGAGTAGTATTCCATTGTGTACACGTATTTTTGAAAGTCACATCTCTTAATTATTATATTGAATCCCATTTACATTTATATACCATTTCGGTTTACTAGGTGTCTTCTTATTCGTATCTCTTTAGTACACAAAATAACCCTAGGAAAACAGCAGGATATATGTTATTACCTGTTTTGTTTTGTTTTGTTTCTTTAGAGATAAAAGAAGCTCAGAGAGTTTTTTTGACTAGCTCAAAGCCTCACACTAACCACTGGGAAAACCAGATTTAAATTTTAGTTTTCGGGTTCAAGTATACCATTTTTTTTCTACTAGATCAAGTTACCACAAAATCATAGGCAATAAATAAAGAAAACATGCTTTTGTATTAATCATATAATAATTACTGAAATAAGTTTTAGTGTCAGCATGCTGAAACACGCTATATTCTAGAGTATGATTATACAGTTTTTCATATTATACTATTGGTAATCAAATTGTATAAGTGGCTCAGGGTTTAATTATATTCCAGTTGTAAAATCAGTATTATTTATTTTTCATAAAGTGGGTCACGAAGTAGATAGGATTTATGTGTTTTGTATTCATCTGAAAATGTAGGACAGTTTGAAATAGCTTACCTAACAAAACTGAAATATTCGAGGCATGGCTTTATTTCCACACAATGCTGGAAAAAATATGTGGGCGTCCCGCCACACTTATTTGGTGGATTTAGGGACCTAAGAGGTCATGTTATTTATCTAGTTCACTGGCTTCAATATGTATATTTTAAACAATGAATCCTCTTAGAAGTAAATTCATAGATGAAATGCAATGAACAAAACAGATGAAAAGAAAGTGCTCTGTCTAAATCATGGAAAAGTTGCTTCAATTTTACCTGGATCCCCAAAGTACACTAGAAGAACACTGATCAGGCTGAATGAAATATTGCTCCTCAAAACACATCAGAAATCAGAAATGATAGTGGAAATGTTATTAAATATAATATTTTAAAATTATTACGTTTAATTTCAGAAAGCCAGCAGTTTGTAGAGAATAGTTCAAAGATATAAAGGTTTTCTAATTCCTTCTTATTCCAAGAATAATCCTGTAAGTGTAGCAGGGCATTAATATTTTTGTGTCAAATCTGTGTTTGTTCAGAATAAAAAAATACTATTATGGCCTGACAAAATAGTGACTAGGAGCTTTGCTAGATTGTTTCCTTCAAACACGTGTTACATATAATCCTAACAGATTTAAGTGGAGAAGTAAAGGTTCTCTCTTGTTATCATGGAAAAACATCCATTCGGGATCCAAATCTAGAAAAAATAATTTAAGGTAATGAAACGCCCGATTTCTTAAATTTCCCTAGGTAATTAATTACCCTTGTAGAATTGATATATCACTGCCTGTGCCTCATCCAGCTCCTGATGATATCAGAAACATAGGCAGATACTCTTACCTAGAATTGCATTAATTATTCTAACATAAAGCACTAACAACGGTTTGTATATAAAATTGGTAACACCCATTTCTTCACGGTATGAAATTTCTGAGGATCCATAAGCAGTTTCCCCCGGGGAACCTGAGCTGGGGAAAGGTGGAGAGTTGAGTCCATCTTCAGGCTTCCTTGATGGGGCGGCACACCTTCATGCTTAGACTGGGGTCCCCTGGGTTGCTCTGCTTACCCTTCCTCCAGATTCGGAGGCCACGCAACAGTCACTGGTGCTCACCCACTGTTTCTGGGCTCACGTATTCTCTAACACAGGTTCATGTGCTGCTTATTTTTATTCTCTTCCTGTTTCCAAGATACCCACATCTTTCACATTGAAATCCTAATCTGAGTCTATCTTTTTGAATCGAGTGAGGACCTTCTGTCCATCTAACCTGTAGACTGTTTTCCAAATGAAAACCTTCAATGTCACTGATTTACAGTGGTTTTTCTGTTTAGTATTTATCATCACATTATAATACTGGGCAAAGCTACAACTTTATTATTCACTACAATGTTTGATTTCACTAATCTTTTTCTGATTAATGAAGACCCTGCTTCTTTGAAATCCATGTTAGAGTCTTTACCCCCCTGAAAGAACTCTAGATTTCAAACAGGATTTCTAACATGTGTGGAATACTAAGAAACTAAGCTCTGTCAAAGAATCCAGAAAAGCGTTTTTTGTACCAGTGCTACCTCTATTGAGAAAAAGAAGTGTGCTGTAAATCAACCTAAAAAAAGAAGCTTAAAACATATCACTATTATACCTTAAATTTATGGAGAAACCACCACCAAAAGGAATCGTGCAAAAGAGCAATAGAGGCTTCTGAGAGAAAATGAGTCTTCCAGATTTGAAGAACCTTTTCCTATGGAAAAAAAAAGACAAATGGAGATCATTTTAAACTACATTGTAAAACATGTTCATCTAAATAGGCTTTATGAAAAGTACATGTTCAATGGTTATTGACGATCACTCTTCAATAGAAATTTAATGTTGAGTCATATATGCAATATTAAATTTTCTAGTAGCTACTTTAAAAAAATTAAAAAGTAAAATGTGAAATTCATTTTAACGACATATTTATTTTACCAAATATATCATTTCAAACATATAATTGTAAAACTTATTAATGAAATATTTTACATTCTTTTTTGGTACTAGTTCTTTGAAATATAATGTATAATTAACAGAACATCTGAATTTGAACACTTTTTTTTTCTTTTTTTTAAATTAAAATTTTTTGAGGTGACAATGGGTAGTAAAATTACATAGATTTCAAGTGTACAATTCTGTAATACATCGTCTATATACCACATTGTGTGAACACTAATTTTCATCATAAATACTAGATCAGTATTTAGACTTCACAACATACATGGTTGTATTTTGTTCCAACCATAATCAAGAGCTTTTTTGATAACTGAATCAAGTATTAGTTTTCAAATGCATATATAAGTTAATTAAAATAAATAAAATAAATTCAGTTTAGTTGCACTAGCCACATTTCAAATACTTAATAATCACATTTGGCTAGTAGTATTGAAATGACATTATAGGCTAGAAGGACAGCAAAAATTCAAGATACATGCTATAATTTCCCTTTTGTGCTGAAGACATATCAATAATCATGGAATTCTATCCCAATGAACCCCATTATAACCCTAGATCTTACCTAAACATAGTGTTCTCTTTAGGCAATTGATTAAAATTGGCACATCAAGTTAAATCTGTTTACCATGACTACTACAAACTATAAATCTTGGTTTAAATAGACACATTTAATATATCATTTTATCTTAATATCTTAATTCAACTAAAGTTTTTAAGTGTCAGATTCAGTGGAGTTCAAGATTTCTTTTAATGAAATACATAGGTATAGATTCCTGTTCCTCAAGTACAAGTCTATAAAAGAAGACACCATGCAAACTTTTATACCAAGAAGATTATTTATCATGTATTCTGTGGGGGTACTTCTCTTTCACAGGCCACTTAGTACGCAACGCATTGGTAACAGCATCAACTTAAAGTCTGTGCTTCTTAATTACCAAGAACATATGTACAGTACATAAAGAAAAAAGTAGGAAATTGAAATAGCTGAGTAAAAGCTGAATACTTTTGTTTAAATTATTTGTAAATATGTTTTTTGGGGAAAATTAATTGCATGATTGTTTCTATTCTAAGTTTGGTTGATTTTAGTATCACTAACTTCCTTTTTCTTTATAAAAATAGGATCAGGTGATTTTATTAAGAGAGCAGACTAAGCCTTCCCTCTCATGAAAATCCCATAAATATATAAAAGAGAATTGAAAAACATTTGTATTAGCATGGCAAACAAGAGACAGTGTCATTACTGAATCATTCTAGGCGGAGATGTCAGTTGAGGTGTCCTGTGGTTTCCTAACTGAGGGACAAACAGGAGATCCAAATAGGTTAATCACACACTACTTCTTGGGACACAGCATCTTGAAGATGGAACACTAAAGAGATACACTTCTTTCATCTTGAAGAAGTGAAGGGCAGGAAATAATGGCTGGAATGGGTTAATCCAGGTTTAATGGTTGATTATGCTCCTTCTGATGGACTAGAGAGGACTATAGTAGGAGAAAAAATAACAATGATTTTTTTTTTAATTAAAGTGTTTTTTGGGGTGAAAACTGTTAGCAAAGTTACACAGATTTCGGGTGTACAATTCTGCACTATATCATCTATATGTCACATTGTGTGTTGACCACCCTCCTCCCCCACCCCTTACTCTCTGGTAATCACTAAACTATTGTCTGTGTCTATGAGTTTTAACAACAGGGAGTTTGTGTTAAGAAATAAAGAGCCACAGGAAGGCTGGGGGTGAGGGATAGGAAAAAAGGCCTACTATGGGCCAAGTCCATCTCAGAGAACTTCCTGAAAGGAATCTGCCTGCAGGTACAAGAAGCACTGTTTAAGCCTCCAGGAAACAGCATCTTGTTAGGAACTACCTATATTTAAGTTGGCGAGAAATCAATACCAGTGACCACCTGACCCTCGGCCTACCTCTGGCATTCAATGGCCAATAACCTTCTTATGCCTGTAGTTTTCATCAATTGGCTACCCTGAAGGCATACTACTCAAAAATTCGCCAGACAATGTGGAGGCTCAAAAGGTGGAGTTGTGGGGAAGCGTTCTCATAAGTTATTTTGGGGTCAAAATGAGCAGGCTGAAATATCCTGAGCTGACAGAGCAGGAAGAGGGAGGGGAAACATCTGGTACAGTCACTTGCCAAGCCAATGCACACTGGCAACCTCAAACACCTGAGGCAGGAAAAGGGTCTAATGCATTCTCTTCTGTTGGCCAGGGTGTTAAACATCACAGGTCCTTCCTGCTGGGCTTAATGCCCAAAGGATTAAATCTTGTTTATACACCTAATTTGTCAAACCTTTAAATAAAGGTCTGATTCATTAAATCATATTCTCAAATTTTACCATATAATAAAAATGAAATAATGTTTACATACATCAAAGTTATGGGTTTTTAAAATAAAAAGATAAATTCGTTCAGCATCCAAATGTCTGGGTAGTTGAGTGAGCTCATTTGTTTTGAATCCTGAAAAGTTGCAACCCTAGATAGAGGAAATATCACAGAACAGTAATTACTTCACTCTTTTCAGTTTAGTAGGTTCACATGACCACAAAAGACAAATAAATACTTAACTATAATTATTTTACTTTTTATTACAAAAATAAATGAACAATATTTATCTCACCTAAGAAAAATCTTCATATTTTCTGCATCTCCAAAATTAAGAGCCCTGGCATATTCATATGCCGAATCCAAAAGCAAAACAAAATTATACTTCAGGACTAATTTGATATAATTCAAATAATCAAAAATTTTAACTAGACTATATGGAAAGAAATGGACTAGGCAGAAAAAGAAAGCTTGTATACCTGTTCCCAACTCACTTTCCTAGGGCCCCTGTCTCTATTTATAGCTACATCTATATTATTATAAACATTCTTTTACTTCCACATAATACTTTGATACATGACCTCGTAAAACAAAAATTTTAAATACCTCTATATTCTTCTTTGTTTCCATTGCATCTGAAAGCTGGAAAACATTTAAAATAAAATCTTTAAAATTCTAAATTAAAGAGTTTGGATATTTGGCAAATTTGTTTATTTAATGTGTGTGCGCGCGCATGCGGGTGTCCAGTTGATGCCTAGAATGCTGTTGCTGTGTTAGATGCTAGGAAAACAAAGATGGCCGTTCCCTCAAGTCACAGTTCAAGAGAGGAATAAGAGAGGTATACAAACAGAACACAAAGAGATAAAGGCTATAACATAAATACGAACAAACAACTTCTTGCAGTTTGGATTCACTGGGAAACAGACCTGAAGTGGAGTTAGTGTTCAGAATATTTATTGGGAGTACCTTTACCTATGGAAGCATCTATGGAAAGCAAGGGGAGAGGCAGGATTGGGAAGATGGAGAAGTCAGCTATGATGCAAGTCTCGCAGCCTCAACTGACCCTATGAAGAGCTCTAAAGCTGAAAGGGCCCATTATAGCTGTCCTGCATTGGGTTGAAATAGCCAGGCCTTTCTGCCTCCAAATTTATCAGTCATTGGATACTGGTGGTTCCTGGAAGGGCATATATTAAGGTGAAGTTCTCTGTAGGTGAGGCAACCCCTAAAGGGGATGACAGCTGAAGGGTGCCCCCTAACAGCACTCTTAGCAGCTACGGCAACAGTGTGGCACATATCCATTTTCTCCATACCACTTTACACAGAGAATAAGTAGCTTTCTGTATATATTAATTTTTGATCATCTTGACATGTTGATATATTGTTTACTAATTTCTATATCCTCATTTCCTTCAGGAATAACTAATTTTACGGGCAAATTTTATATGCACACATTACATAATACACATATTTATAGGGGAGATGACATAGGAAAATATCTGAAAGGATAATAACAGATTGCTAACAGAAAGAGAATCGCATTATTGACATTTTATAAAGCGTGCAAAGGAATAAAAAGGAAAGACTAATTAGGAAAAGTGAGATCAATTATGATAAAAAAGAGGCTGTGTGCTTGAGAGCTTCAGATATAAATGGTCAATATAGATGGGGTCAAATTTAGAAAGACAGTAATGTTAATCTCAAAGTCCTGGCATTATTCTGCAAAAAGCAAAGAAACATTGGAAGTTTTTAAGGAGCAGAGTAATAATAACACAAAACTAGTTCTTGGTCATACAACCTGGAAAAGATGTCACAAAAATATAAATAATACATGTTAAAATCCTTATTTTAAAAATCCAATAAAACACATTTAACAATAAAAATAATTACTAAAACTTTTGTTACTATGTCATCTAAACGTCATTTCAATAGATTCTGATAAAAGTCAAGTCAATTTTTGAAATTTTTTTGAAAATTAAAAGATACAGAAATTATAATGAGTAATATAACTACCAGTGTTCCCATGTTCCCACAACCTGGAATCGATTGCTGTTGACATTTTAGTATTGCTTAAGTATGCTTAAGACTATTTTAAAAGAGAAAATATAGAGTTTTTATATAATTATATATAATAAAAGTTTAGATCTCCTTTTACAAAGATTTATATTTCTATTTGCGTGTTCCTCTTCTTGAGATAGTCACTATCATTGTTTGGTTTGTATCCTTTCCATTTCATTAAAATACTTTTCCATATATATATATCACATATATGTGATATATATATATATCATGTATATACTATATACTATATATTATATATATACTATATATCATTTCTTATATATAGTATATATATAAAATATAGACAATTTTGTGCTTTTAGAATGTAAAGAAATGGTATTTAATTATTGTAAATATATAATTTAATCTGATTTTTCTAATTTTTTTAATTAAAGAAAAATAAAAGTGACAATTAGATAGTAAGATATATGTGATTTACCTATAAATGATAAAATTAGGATTCTTATCCTTTTTAGTGTTTATCTATTTCTTTTAATTTTTAAAAATGATCACCTTAGTCATAATCAGAAAAAAACAATAAAAGTAATTTTGAAATTTAAAAAATAACATTTAATGAGGTGGCTGGACTAGTAGTGGAACTAGTTGTTATAGCTTTAACATTATATAATTTTAAATGTATTTTTGAAAAGGACTAAGTTTTAAAAAATAATTCAAGCCGATTACAATTCTAATAAAAATCTCAGAGTTTTTAATTGACCAAGTAATTCCAAAGGCAATAGAAAAGAATTAATTTTTTCTATAGGAAGGGAACTGATATGGGACCTTCACTACTAAGTATATGGTATAAACTATTAAGTAACAAGAGGATAGAATATATACATTAAAATATGTCTTTAAAGAACTTCTAGTGATGTGAAAATGCCAACACTCTAATATTGTGTGTGTAAAGAAGAATATGAGTCCGGCTGTTTTAAAAACACAGAGAGTTAGACAGACAGATGAAAAATGACTGAAAGGAAATTAAAAAAAGAATTATCTATGGAATTATAGTGATTATATTTTCTGTGGAAATATAATTTTTCAAGCAATATGAAAACAAATACAATACCCTTATCATCTTTTTCTTATGGTACTTCCTTAGAAATGCCTTGTATCTTTCCAACTTTCCTTGAGAACCTTTAAAAAAATGAGAATTCACAACATATATATATATGTGTGTGTGTGTATATGTATACATATATATATATATATATAAAATCTCCTTTAAAAGTGAAAAAAATTAATACTTCAAATAAATTACATATGAAACTATCCAATGGGATCAACTAGTTATTTTGATAAGCATAATGCTAGACACACAATCTTAATTGAATGAGTAAATAACTATCATATCTTCCATTTCTATTTTTTAGAAATGTCATGTTCCAACTAATATGTCTTCAGTAGTTATTCCTATATCTAGTTTTACCTCATCCCTTCCTACAGAACAAGCCCATGTTTTTCAAATAGCTTAGCCACTTGCATCGGTGGTTTCATGGTCATCTTAAATTCAATAAAGTACAGTACTTTGAAGTATAGTCCAGTGAAAGACCATGGGGGGGGAGGGGGCTCTGAAGTCAGATAACCTAGACTTGAGTCCAAGCTCTGATATTTATATATTGAGCACAATTAATATACATAAAATTATTTTTTTAACTGTGCACATGTGCTCTGTCTCTACATATATTTCAAAAATATTTTATATAAAAAATAATTTAAAATTCAGGAAGGAAATCTTTTAAAAAGTAGTAAATTTAATAGTAGTGTATTTAAACACATTCTCAGAATTTGAAAATTCAAGGTCCATACAAGAATATTAAACATCTAAAAAATACAACTACTTAAATTTAATACATAGAGAATGCTGTCTAAGTATAACCAATATAGGCAGTTTTAAGGCTTGTATATGACAAGTCTGCCCATTAAATCAAGAATAAGACAAGAATCACCATTAGTATCTAAAAACTATTCTGAAAGTGTTAATAAAAACAATTAGATATGAAAAAAGTTAGACAAATACTTAGAAGTAAAATTTATCATTACTAGCAGAACTGCTTTTCATGTAGTCTGCAGCTGTTCAGTACTGAATGCTAAATACGTCCCACAAGCTAACCAGCTAAGATAGATCAGCTCGCACCACTTTTACTTTGGGGTTTAGGCATTTCTGTTCATATATCCTGACTCTTGCTGACTTGCTTGTCTCCGGTACAGTATCAGCTGATGCAATCCTGCTTCCCTGATATTCGGCTACCTCTGCTCCAGTTTAACCAAGTCCACAACTATTGGAGGCTTTGTCCTAGCAATACTTTCTTTGAATCCACATGTTTATGTTCAACTAAAAAACTTTGTATTGGACCATTTTGAAGTGAATATGTTTTAAAATAAGATACATTTCTTTTTATGTTTTTAAATATTTTATACCTTAGGATTCTTTATGAGAATACACACACACAGAGAGACACACACATACACAACTGATTATTACTTCACTTATATAAAAGTATACCTCTCCCAGATATTATGCTGTCCCACTCAAATATTTTAGAGGCATGGTTTTCCAAAAGAGTTGAACATTCCTCTAATCTTGACTCCATGATCACGAGTGCATCATATATTCTAGGGACATTTCCCCAGAGGTGTGTATAAATTGAAGCATATGAACTATCTTCTTTTATTTTCCTCAGAGTGTCTACCCACGTATCATTATCTTTAAAAGAAATTTCCCTTGGCCAGTAATCCTGCAAAATGTGTGAGAGAATACAACTTAAATCATATTTAATGAATTTAAATAATAGAGTTCAAAGTCAATGAGCCAAAATTGAGATTTTATTACACAGCATTATTTTATATTAAATGTATTTTTTAAAAATTTTGAAACAATCATAAACCTTAGAAGTTTCAAATGCTTTACAAAAAACTTTTCCCCGAATCATGTGAAAATCAGTTGTTTACTTGACTGATGCCCAGTCATCCTTAAATACTTACTTTAGTGTGTATTTCCTAAAAACAAAAACATTTTCCTACATAACCAAAATATAATCCTCAGAATCAGGACATTGGCATTGGTACACTGTTGCTACATAATCCTCAGCTTTTATTCACATTTCATCAACTGGACCAATAATGCCCTTTACAGCAAAAGGATCTAGTTCAGTAATACACATCACATTTAGGCTTCATACTCATGTGTCTTTAGTTCCTCAGTCTTTTCTTGGCCTCTATATAGTTAAAACCATGATTTCACACTCATACCTCTAATTCCAATTCCAAACATTCTAGTTTTCTCTCTTTCCATATCCTAATTACCATCTCCAATAGTGAATGACCTAGCTGATGTTATCATATATGTATGTATGTATTCGCAATATTTTCAGGTGATTACTATCCAATCTCCCCATCCACTGACAGCCTCTTCTCTATGTATGCCCTTCTCATCCTGCTTAGGCTCTGACACCACTTGCACGGCTGCCCATTCTACAGGGACACCCTCCGTACCCCCACTTGGGCTCTGACTTGCCATACAGGCCACAGCCTACCACCCTACCTCCCAAACCACCCTCACCCTTACCCCTAGCCACATGTGGATACCATCCTTGCTCCCTTCGACTCTGACACCTTTTGGTGTCACTCGTACACCTTCCTCAGTGTGGTTGAGTTTGGAGAGCTTGCTCTGTGTTACGACGTTACATCCCCTACCCCTGCCAATGTGGACGGTTGCCTTATGTTGGCCCCCAAGTGACTTTAGAACGAAATTGTTCAGGAGGGGAAGGAGAGGAAGGAAAGAGAAGAAAACAAAGGGAAATGAATGGGATGGAAGGGGAATCATCAGATTCATATTTGTAAATCCAAATACAAGATTAGCTTTTAATATAATCAATAGCAAAACAAAGAAAGTTAGTGATGTAATTAAAGGTTTATGAGTAAGAGGATGCTTTCTGGAATGGTAGGAAACTTGCACATGATCAAACTCTTTAACGGGTAAGGCATTCTGGGAACTTAGCTAAATGGAAATAAATCTGCAGTCTGCAGATCAGGAATTTTAAACCTGCCTAGGTCTATTCCACTTCCTTTTTTCTTCCTTTAAAAGCTTACTAAATGCATCATATATGTGTGTATTTATGAACTGCACTCTCTAATGATAACAAGTACCTCAATGATACTCTGTTTTTAATGTTGGAAAACTTTCCCAGAGGCATCTAGGTCCCCCTGCCATTTTGTAACAAATCATATTACTTAGATACATAAGTGTCTTCTCCCAAATCCTAGAAATATACATCTTAAAGACGACACACAACCACCTGGGTATCATGTGTCAAAAAAAAATACAAAGATCTCAGGAGAATAAGATATGATCACAGGATACAAAACTTGGAGACAAACATTGTCAAATTAGAATAACAGCCACTTTTGAAAACATAGTCCTTATGGGGATGGATGGGTGGACAGACATATAAATAAAACAGCTATTCTCTGAATATAAAGAATGGAACTTAAATAATTATTCTCACTATCATAAAGAACCTTTAATCTGAGAAAAATCACAGTAGGGATCGCGTACCCTCCAGGTCTACATTATAAACCCAGAAGCCTGCTAACAAAAATTGACACCGATGCCCTAAGAAAAGATGAATTAAAGTAGTACCAGATAAAAGTCACGTGAATGCAAAAAGAAAAGACAAAAAGTAATAAATAAATGACAGGGAAGATCAACTGTGATATACAGAGAAGGAAGGAATTCAAACTAACTCTTTAGTACCTCAAGAACTGAAAAGGAATAAAAATGTGTGACAGTACAGAAATAGTGCAGAAGGATGAGGGTGATATAAATTCCAGAAGGGCAAGGATTTTTCTGTTTTGTTCATTATTGTATCCTCAGTGTCCGAACATTACCTGGCAGATAGTAGACAGCAAAGAAAAATCATTAAATGAATGAATGAATAGGATAAGTAAGAGAATTGATAATGATACAACACTGGGGGAACAAAAGGATGCTATAAAACTAAAACATAAAAATATTTTTACAAAAACAAAAATAGAAACACAGTGGTGATGAAGTGAATGGGGAGAAAGAAGACAAGAGAATGTGGAAATTGGTCACTGATGAAACGAGAAGAGAAATGAGTGAAGGTGAGAAGGTACACAGAACTATAACAACAGATAGGAAGAGGGGAAAGATAGGAGTAGAAGGTATGAAATATTAACATTACAAAAGACAGACAGTAATGGTAGAAATTGGCAAAAATGGGAGGGTTTTAGATGAAGCACAAGATATGAAAACTAATCTGTGGCATGTAGGTTCCAGGTACTGTTCTTATGCTAACGAGTAAGAGTGAGATTTGAACATCGGCAATCTGACACAAGAGCCTCCTGTTCTTAACCAGTACACAACTATGGAGATGCATGCCTTCGCTTTTACGTTTTAGAAGAAAGGATAACTAAACAGATAGCCTTTCCAGGAAGTCATAAGCAGTTTAGAATTTTAATTTCTCTTTTGTTTTATTCACTTGTTTATAATACGCCTCATCTTAAAAAGAAAGACAGCTCCAAGAAGGCAGGGATCTTTGCCTGTTTTTATTCATTGATATATTCTAAAAGTCTGTGTAGCTGGCACACAGTAGGTGCTCAAAAATATTTCTTAAATGCATTTGAGGAAGCTATTTTTCTACTATTGTCTATAAGACAGAAGTTTTATCCAGCAAACCAAAAGTTAAATATCCAGTCATTTTATTCCTGGATGTTTTAAAATATCCAATAGTTTGGCAATACATAGATAAAAATCAAACCTTCAAAAAAAAAAGCCACTGCAGAATACAAGTATTTGGTTGGGAAATTTAGACAATAAGAAAAAAACATACAGATAAACCCATAAATGACAAAATGGTACAACTGGATATGTTGTTTCACAAAACGTTATCTGATAAAAAATTGAAGGCTATCAATACAGATGCTATCCTTTGCATACAAAGATGGTGCTTTAATTTTGATTTTATTCTATCTTTGGTGAAGGGCTGGCATAATCCCGTGATCTTGATTTGATGAGTATCATTCTTAATTCGAACAGAGTGACTATGTATTTTCCACTTCAAATTATCAGAAATTTTAATCTGAAATTATAGGTCCTCAAATATGTATGATGGTATAGTCCAAATGTCGCCATAATTATTTGCTGAGTTTGGCTTAATGTTAACTATACTCCCTTTCCCTTGACATTAAAAGAGATCCTAAACATTATGATTAGGTTACAGCACATTTCCATCATTATTTAAATCAAAATAGTTGCAAAAAGCTTGTCCAGAAAGTAGTTCAAAATATTTGACTCTGCTACACTGATTGAAATAAACTTTTGTAAGCTAGGATTGTTTCCATTTTCTATTTGCTCCTAAAGGGAACTCAATCCTTTCCCAAAACATTAAAAAAACAAACCAAAAAAAACCAAAAAAAGCTTATTTAAACAAATTTAAGAACAGAAAATAGATGCTTAAGGACAGATATTTTTGAAACTCCATTGTCAACAGTTTAATCACAGCAAATTCTGTTTATATTTAAGCATAAGTAAGTGCAAATTAAAGTTCGAGCTACTCAAACTATGTATACACCTCATTTTTAAAAAGCCTCCTGTTCCTTCTGTCTTCCACACTAACATCTTTATCCTAGGTTTTGACATTCCTCAATGCAAAACAAACCTGATCTTCAGACTCACAAATGCATGAACCCAAGGTAAAACCCATAACAAGCCCAATAACTCCAGAAGAAGTCAGCAGTTACACATAATGGAAACTGGAGCTTTCAAAATAAAAGCACATTTTTAATACAAAGGGTGCCAAAAAAATGTATACACATTTTTAAGAAAATAAAAATATTAAAATTGTAATACTCGATATATACCAATAACAAAAGATGAATACAGTCACGTTTGACTTCTGCAATTATAAGAGGTGTTCCAAGTGGTTACCATCAGTGTCCAGACACTTCTGACTATGGCGAACTACTGCTTGAGCGACATTGACCAAAGTGTCCACATGTATACATTTTTTTGGCACCTCTGGTATATAAGACAAAAATCTTATATTAGCAAAATTACACAGGAACGTCTATAAAATTTTGCTGACAGGACATAGGACTAGAATTTTTTAAAAGTGAAAAAGAGAATAGAATATTGACAAGAAGAAACGGCTATAACATAGAGCCTACTCAAAGGAAATAAAGATTTACAAACATTTCCCACATTGAAATGTAGTTCTTGAATTTCTGTTCTTAAAGTTTTCCCAAGCCTTCCTCCATCTCCATAACTGATATTTTAAAAGATGTACTGTCACATGAAATATGATGCTCTACTCACCCAATTTTGAAACTTTAAGAATTCTTCAACATTCTTTGGAGGTTCTTGCATTTTCTAATGAAATAAAATCAATATTGCTCACTAACATAAATTCAGATTGTTTATGATGCTTATACGTAACTTAAATAAATAAACTTCAGATACTGGACTGAAGTTATAATTTTCAGAGCCATCAGATATTGTAAAATATTCATATTGTAAACTCCATGCACTTTGAAAAAGGACAGAGATCACTGTTTAAATTCTGAGCCTCCAAACCAAATTCTGTCGAAGGCTTCCCTCTCATATAGCACTCTTAGAGAAAATCTCCACACGAAATCTTCTGAATATCCTCATTTCAAATTCCTACAAGAGTTACAAGATATTTTGGATGGTGTCTTCAATAAATCTAGGGCCAAAAATATAATAACATGCTCCTCTTGCTGATGAAGTATTTAAAAAGCCACACTAGACATACTAAAAATACCTTAACTATTCCAGTGTTATAAATAGTAATCCTATTTTTAGTAGTAGTTTCTTTGTAAGTTAAAAATGTATTCTTTCATTAGACAAATTAATTTCAACTGAAACCACGTCTTGCTCTTCCTTGCCTTAGAGACATTCTTCCTTCTGCTTAGAAGGCTCCCGGTCCCAAGCCCCCTCCCTGCAACCCCTTGTAGACCTATATAAGTCTTATTTCAAATATCAAATCAAAAGTCACTTTTTCTAGGAAGCCTTTCTTGGCCCCCAAAACGATTCTCTGTGGTAACAGACGGATTTGTATCTCTATGAGGATATGAGATGATGTAATCACTGCTGAACTGTCCAAACTTCATACAGAGGCTGGCCCATGGTCAGTGCATAATAAGTACTTTCAGTGTGCATTAATTAATGACTAAATGAGTAGATGAATGTCAGAGTAATGTGTATGTATTTAAAAAATGTTTAAATAAACAAAAATTTTCTAGAGAAGGAAAAACCAATAAGACAAAAATAAGAGGAATCCAGAATAATGGTTTGATGATGACATGTCTGAAAGGATTACATTACATTTTAATTTACTGAAACACATATTTCACATCAATAGATAAAATGACCAAGATTACAAAATCACAAGGCCATGTTTTATGAAAATAACTACATATTTGTGGTTGAAGAGAATATTTCATTCTCTTAATGTTGTTTAAAATACATAATGCATATAAGTAAATATAAAACAGATAATGCAATAATGAAAAATAAAGGGTATATGTGACAATCATTACAAAAAACAAGTGCTCAGACGCGAAGATGCACAGAGCTGTCAAGGAAATTTTATGGCAAACATGGGATTCTAGGCCTACTCAGATTGAGAAAGATAAGAAATAAGAGAGGCAGTACATGTAGAATGCTTAGAGACAAAAAATGTTCATGATATAGTATCTTCAGGGATAGCAAGTATTGAAGTTTGGCTAGAAAGAAATTGTCAGTATATGTTAAAATGTACAGAATATAAAGGAACCTAAATAAAACAATTTAAGTCTTGACTTTTTTTCTTATAATGGCTGTCCAGTACAAAGCACTTCTAGTACAGACACTAAAAACAATACCCACATTTCAATTAAAGGGAATGACAAAATTAATTAAGGAAGTGAAGGAAGTGTAGGCAAGTTCCAGCTAATATCAATATAAAATTCCAAAGCTCTTGGTAGATAGGATGTAGAAGGATGCAAAACCTCTATGCTTCCATGGTAACAACAAGAAAAACCTGGACCAAATAAAAATCTTAACTTTCTATGGGGTTAGTGAAGAATGGCAGATGCTAGTAAGCACGTCCAACTACATAATTAGTGACAATTCAGAGTCCCTTGTTTAAAAATTATTAAAAATTTTAAGATGGTAATGTCAGACCATTAAACCAAGTGTAGGGCCCTCTAATCATGAAGACCTGTACAACCATACAGGTTGCAAGCCCATGAAGCTGCCTGATGTGGAAGCCATGATGACCTGAAATCCAGAGAGAAACACGTCCTTCATAAGTGAGCATAAAGCTGTGGTAACGTCCTTACCCTGCAGTGGAGTCTGCGCCTCCACAGAGGAACGGGTTCACCTGCCATGGTGCAGGAACTTTGCAGAGAAGAGAAATCAGCTGGGCCTTAGGCGTCAGTGTCAGCTTGGGGAACAAACCGGAGTCTGAAAGACACGCAAAAGCAAAAACAGATGAGTCAGCCAGACAATTCCTTCCTCGGCCCCCACACTTCACTTCTGAATTTTGCCAAAAAAGTAGCAGTGGAGGTGGGGCTGGAAAGTTAGAGAACTTATATAGATCAACACATTCTTACAGTACTTGGGTTCCAAGGCTCTGACAGAGTTGACTCCAGAGGTGAACCAAAAATATCCGAAACTTCAGTCCAAACTTGTTCCAACTCAATACTGACAAGATATACGAGATGGCTATGAAGAGGGAGGTTGGAGGTTGCGTTAGTCATAGGCGAACTCAATTGAATGAAAGCTGCCATCGACCTCAAAGCTCAACTCTAGTTTAGGAGGATTCCAAAAGATCAGCCTCTCACTCTCAATACCAAGGAGAGGAAAAGGCTCGTGCTCTCTGAAAACTAAACAACACTAAACTTCAGCCTCCACAATTTTTTTTCCACATAATGTCTAATACACAATACAACAATTACAAGACATACAAAGAGGAAGGAAAATGGGACCCATAATCAAAAGAAAACACAGCTAATACAAACCAATTCATTGACAATCTAGATATTGTAATTACAGACAAAAACTTTAAAATGACTATTATAAATCTGTTAAAGGTTTTACGATATAAATTGAATTATAGTACATGAAGAAATGGGGTATTTCAAGAGAAACAGGAATTCTAAAATAGAAACTAATGGAAATTCTAAAATCATACAAACACAAATCATAAGAAAACTGGTGTGAACAAACTAGACGTCAAGACAAGAAGTATTAAAAGACAAATAAGGTTAATTCATATTGATAAAAGATCAATTTGTTAATAAGACATACCGATACTAAATGTGTTTGCATCTACCAAAAGAGCTTCAAAATAAATGTAGCAGAAATTGATAAAACTAAAGAGAAACATAGGCAAAAACTCAATTATACTTGGAGATTTTAACACACCTCTCTGAGTAATTGATGAATCAAGTACACACACACAAATCAGTAAGGAGAGAAAACATTTGAACATTATCAAACAACTTTAGTGACATTTATCGAACAACTATGCCTCCCAACTGCAGAATACACAATCTTTTAAAGTAAGGAAACACGGAACATCCACCATGACAGACCCATGTCAAATTGTTTATGAGAAATATTGGCCTGATTTTTTTTTTCTTATAATGTCCTTGTCAAAGAATTAAGATTATTCTGGCCTCAAAAAAAAAAAAGAATTGGGAAATATTTCTTCTTCTTAATTCTCTGAAAGAATTAGGAAATCTGAAAGATCAATACTATTTCTTCCTTAAATGTTTGATCGATTTTGCTGGTGATGCTACCTAAATCTGAATTATGGTGAGGTTTTAAATTAAGAATACTGTTATAGATGTAACTGTCTTTCTCCCCCATCCAATTACTATGTTGAAGCCCTAATCCCCAAAGTGACTGTTTTTGGAGATGGAGCCTTTGGAGAAGAAATTAAGGTTAGATGAGGTCATAAGGGTGGGACCCTAATCCAATAGGAGTGTTGTCTTTATAAGAAGAGGAAGAAACCCAGACAGGTCTTTCTCTCCCTGCATGCACAAGGGCCATATGAGAAGGCAGCCATCTACAAGGCAGGAAGAGAGATCTCACCAGAAATCAACCCTGACAGCATCTTGATCTTGGACTTCTAGCCTCCACAACTATGAGAAAATAAATTTCCATTGTTTAAGCCACCCACTCTTTGGTATTCTATTATGGCAGCCAGAGCAGACTAATGCAGATATAATTTCTCAAAATTAATAAAGGATCATTCCGATAGTTTATTTCCTCTTCCATTAGTTTTGGTAAATTGTGTTTTTCAAGGAAAATAAAAAATGTCAAATACTTTGACATAAATGTTTATTTTTAATATCCTTTTATTGTTTTTACTATCTGCAGGATGTTTCCTTTTTGATTCCTGATATTTGTACTTTGAGGTTTCTCTTTTTTCTTGGTCAGTCCATCTAAGGGCTTATCAATTTTTTAAATCTTTTTAAATAACCCTTTTGGCCTTGTTGCTTTGTTTTCAATTTCATTGATTTCTGCTCTTATCTTCATTAGTGCCCTTTATTCTATAGATGTTTGAGAATTTTGCAATGTAAAAACTGACCCTATTATGAAATGTTTGCTTGACAATCCCTGTTTACACTGAGTTTTCTGTCACCATTTTAATCTTTAGCCTTCAATATGAATAGAAATCCAAGGATTAATAGATCTTTAAGGAATAACTGTAAAATTTTTAAAAAGATAAAAACAAAACAATCGAAATCTGAGAGGATACAGACAATATTGTGAACAGAATGAAACTTTTAAAATGCCTGCAAGATTCTTAGAAAGATATAAGGTAATTCATCCCTGAAACTAAAACAGCACATTGTAAGGTAATAGGGAATTTTTAAAAAGTACAAATATAAAGGTATAAGTTAAATAGTCAACAAAATGTTTGTGGAGGGGGGAGAGATGAAGAAATCTTCTGGAAACTAGAAAAGGTTAAAGAAAAGAATCAGAAGACAAAAGATAAGAATTTAGAAGATTATTCAACCTAGAAATTTAAATATAGGCAGACAATCAATTAAGTGTGTAGCATTTTTCAGATCTGCAAAGTAGAAAAAAAATTACCATTTCTCTCTGTATTAGTTTCATGTTGCTGCTGTGACATATTCCCACAGTTGCTTAAAACCACACGGGTTTATTATCTCACAGTTCTGGAAGTCAGAAGTCGGAAATGGATCTGCAGGGCTGTCTGTGCTCCTTCTGGAGGCTCTTGGGGAGAATCTGTTTCCTTACCTTTTCCAACTTCTAGGAGTCACACTCCTTTACACCTTAGCTCCTTCCTCCAACCTTAAAGCCAACAGTGTAGCATCTTCTCCCCTCTCTCACCTCTTGCCTCCCTCTTATAAGGACACTTGTGATTATGTTTGGCTCACACAGATAATCCAGTGTAATCTCCCCATCTCAAGATCCTTAATTTAACTGGCTAGGCAAAGTTCCTTTTGCCATATAAGGAAACATACTCATAGGATCTAGAGATTAGGATGTGGACATATTCAGGGGTGGTCACTACACTGTCTACCACACTCCCATTTACCTTTCCTCATAAGGAAAATACTAGAGGATACGTTTCATAAAAACAAAGGATCAAACAAAGAAAAAGGAAACAGGGACCCAACACAGGAGAGCATACTGGATTGGTAAAAGCAACCAATACTGAATGAACTAGAGGTTATAATGCTCTAGGACTATTTGGAAGGAAAACAAAATCTTCTAGATTAATTGATAGGTTGATTGTGATGTTTTATCACTTTGGCAGAGTGTTTGAGGACAACATGCAAATAAGTACATATGAATATGGCATTAAGACAAAGGAACTAAAAGGTTGATTTAAAAGTTAATGAGATCAGCGTTGACTGATATTTACAAAAGTTGACTTAAACAAAACTGTGGTATTGTTATATTGAGAGATGAGGGGACAAGAAGAGTGTGTGGGGTAGTTGGAGAAGGAATGTTCACACATTTAGGGGTGGTGTTATAAAACAGCTTTACCATTAACTTTCATAGGAGAAAGTCAATAATGTCTGAGATTTAAGAAATAAAAAAATTGCAGTGTAACCATGTTTTGAAATATGGAGTAAATAACAGAAGAAATATTAAAAAGACTTGAAAGAATTTTCCTTTTGAGAGAATTGAGAATAGAGTGGAGACGTTGGGGACCACAGGGATTTAGTTAAAAACCTAGAATGAGGCAAACTGTTAGTGCTCACCAATATGTGTATTGTTTCTCTACATTTCCCAGGCTCCTTTGCAGTTAAAGTGGGGGATCTTGGGACTAAATTCTGGCCAATAAAATGCGGGCAAAGTGATATGCACCATTTTTAGAGCTGACCTCTAAAACTTTTTGTGTGATTCATTATGCTTTCTTGTCAGGTAAGTTGTGGACTCCATGTCCTAGGAGACAGCAGAACCACTAAAAATAAAACTTGCATCCTTGAGTCTAACATTTTTTTTTTTTTTTTACTAAAGATTTTATTGGGGAATTGGGGGAGGGAAAAGCATTGGGGAATCGGGGAAGGGGAACAGACAAGTTGCTGCCCTTTTGTTCTTCAGTCTAGTTGTGGAGGACATTGCTTCACTGGCCCCTGTTGGTATTATCATTACGCTCTTCCCGGGTGAGGCAGTTGCTCACTGGCCATTGGATGGCCGCTCACAAAAGCTCATGCCCGCTGCTGGCCAGCACCACTGCAGGCTATGGTGACACCAGTGACTCACAGCAGCCCAGCTCCAGGTTGAGCTGTTGTTCACCATCTTAGCTGTAGAGGGCACAGCGTCACTGGACCTCATGTAGGATCTGAACCAGGGTCCTGCTGCTCAGAGCTGGCATCCCAACGCGCCACTCGGCTGGCCCAAGTCTAACATTTTATCTGACTAGTAACATACATAATGCATTTCTTGTGAGAAAAAAAACTTATTGTATGAAACCACTGAAATTTTGGGGTTTTCTGTGACAGCAGTTAATTCACTGTGTTGGTTTTTAAAAATATACCCAAAAATTCTCGACAGTCTTTTGAGAAGTGGCATCTATGTCCCCTCTTCTAAAATTTGAACAGGACTTGAGACTCATTTATTATCAAAAAGGATGGTGACACTGTGTTACTTTTTCAGGCTAGGTCAGAAAAGGACATGTAGTTTCTGCCTTGTTTATTGCAAAAGTTGACTTTGGAGCACTGGGCCTCAGCTAAGAAGTCTGATTACCCTCCTGCCATATGTGAGGAAGCCCAGGCCACACGGAGATGCCACACATAGGAGCTCTGCTAGCATTCATAGTCATCCCAGCTGAGTAATCAGAAAAAAAGCTGTCCTTCTGTGCCCTACTGAACACACAATTCATGAATGTAATAAAATGGTTGTTTTAAGCCACCATTTTGGAATAATTTATTACATAGCAATAGAAACACAATGCACACTCCAATGAATAAATCATATCACTAATTTTTTAAACTGTGCACTTGAACTAAAGTAGTTAAAAAAGAAAAAGATGTGAATTATTTATTCTTGGCTTGCAGACTTGGCTATTGCTATTCTTCCTACCCAGAAAGTTCATCTTTGCCCATAAAGCAGTGACTTTTAATATTTTTAAAAGAGAAACACACAGTAAGAAAAACATTTTATAAACAACCTAGTGTACACATACATGTACGTATATATGTGTGTGTATATATGTATATATATATATGTATATATATACACACACACACAAATTTTATATATACAAGATTTTAAACTCCATAAAGCAATACTTAAGTATATCAATTGCTATGAACTGATATTTCCACACTATACTATTTTATTTTCTTAAAGTGTGGTTTTGGCTTAATAGATGTCCTTGTGACACTAATGTGTCCCGCACAATCCCTTTGAAAAACACTACTCTAAACCATAATCATTCTTCAAGGCCTTACTCAATTCAACCAATAAGCCTGCATTGACCATTCCATTCTGAGCTCTTGAAATTCCTGCAATTTGTTAGTTATATTGTCTTTTCGGTACTACCCGTGCTTAATTCAATATCGTGAGCTCCTCAAGGACAAGGAAGGTTCTGTCCTTCATCTCTCACTTGCTAAATTCATAGTACTCAAATATATTGCTCAATATCTGGCCATTGTTTTCAAGCCTCACAATTGTTAACATGCACTCCTTCGGTTTGGATTTCTTTGGGGTGGGGCAAAAAAAAAAAAGGTTTAATAATCTAGTCACATGTTATGTTTAATTTCAAACTGGAAAAGTACATAAAGTAGTCCCACCTCTACACGCGTGTGTAGTTTTTAAGCAAACCAAATCATCAAGATACGATTTTTCTAACAGCTATGCATCGCAGGAAATACTTGTCTTGATATAACCATAAAAAAAAAATAATAGAACCAAGATATCACGACTGAAATATTTTGGGGATTGGTAAAAATGAAAAGGTGTTCTGTAGGATCAGCATTTTCACAACTCACTGTAACTACACCTTGGGAGTGTAATTCGAGAACCGGGTCACATTTATGTGGTCGTCGGCCAGTCTCAGGAGGGAACTCAGCGCAGGGCTGGCGGGGTGTGAGGCCCAGCTTCGCAGGTCCTGGCTCTGCTCCCGGATCCTGTCCCAGAAAGGCGACTTCGCCGGTGGCATAAAAAAGCTGGGGCGGGACTTCCCGTCTAACCCCTCCCCGCCGTCCTCCCAGCCAGTTACCTTCGCCGCGGGACCTGAGCTGCGCCCGGCCCTGGCAACGGCCCTAGCAACGGCCGGACTCCTCCCCCCGGTGTCTCCCCGAAAGCGCTCCGCCGCGTTCGTGCGCGACCACGGCCGGGCTCGAGCGTTGGCTCGGGCGGAGCGGAAGACGCGTGGAGCTGTGCAAGGACCCGCGAGCAGTGCAGGTCTGAGTCCCACTCTGATCCTCTCCTGCCCGTCATCGCGTCTCTGTGGGGACGAGTAGCCTGGCTGGAGCCGTGCGGCTGCGGGGAGTGGACGCTCCTCGGCCGAGCCCTAACGGAGGTCGTGCCGGGTGTCGCCTGTGAATGGGACCCTGGTCCCTGCGCGGGCGCTTGCATTTTGGGGATTTTGCGGGCCACTTGGGAAACAGGCTTTCACATTTTTCTTTAACATTTTTCCCCCCCTAACACCTGTTTTCGGTGCTTTCCGCCCCGAGACGAGTCGATCCTGACAAAGTTAGCAAGTTAGCCCCTTAGGAGCCCTATTTTTTATTTTTTAGTGTTTGGAAGATTTGCGGGGGATTGGTTATCACGGAATGTGAAGTTTAGCACTGACGTAGTATGTCATGCAGTGTAGTATTTAACATATTAAGATCACGCTTACATAATAAGCAAAGAAGTCTGTGTCTTATGTTTAAATTATTTTAGGGGCATGTAGGACAAATAAGGAAATACATTAACACTTTAAGTTGCCAATTCCATGGAGTTGGATGGTAAAGTCGCTGCTTAAAACCACAACATTTAAGGATTAGTTCTGTCTGGACCCCAGTGTACCATGAAAAACTAAGGCAAGACATTCAGCCTACCACATGGTGGTCTGGGAGGGGCCTTTGGTCCTGTATGAAAAAGATGGATGGTACAGTACCTGGGATTTTAAAAAAATGGATGTTGCAGCTGTATCTATTATGTGATCAGGTTCTAAAAAAAAAAAAACGACAGGAAGAAAAAAAAAATTGAAGTGGGTTTTATCGAAAACCACAGTACAGAATAGAGTAGTTTTATATAATGTTCCATTGGGAGGTGAATCAATTTAGGAGCCTTTTTCATTAGTATTGTTTTTGCAAAAAGAGGCCTGCAGGGCTGCCTCTTGTGCCAAGCTGCA